ATGTATCAAAAGGACAATCACAACTAAATTGGTCAAGTTGTTAATTTAATGACCACAAGGTTACAAATTGGACTCCTAGTGAAGGTGGCCTATTGACCTTCTTAGCTTAGTTTGAGCCGATAATTTACCTCTTTATGATCCTTCGTAGACTAGCATATCGATCATTGGTGTCCAGTTTGGAATTTTGCCATTTTGGTACCTTAGCAATCTCCTTATCATAATGAATAAGATGGGTCAGATCCGCACAAAATTTCATCAACTATGTGATAAGGACACTGCAGTATTAATAATGTAATGTAGAGTTTATCCATTATATTTCTATGCAGCATTATTGACAATTATGCAGCAAGACCACTCAATGTGTTTACAACTCCATATATCTAGCTATACTTGATATTTATACTAACAAATACTTATACTTTAGGTTAAACATATCTTTTAATTTGACATCATATAGTATTGTCCTAAGTATAAGATGTATAAAATAACAGACAAAATTTGAAGTACATACTCATCGGCACATATATACTGTATTGACTTACACCGGGTACTGTTGGGCGAAGGTGTTGGTTGCTATACAAGTATAAGAAAATAAAATTGTACTTTCGCTATTAGTTATAACTTTTGACATAATAATAAATAGTTGATAACATTAGTTGGTAAAATGGCTGTTAGCTGATTGTGTCAATTAGATGGTATAAATAGTTGATAACATTAGCTGATTGTAGAAAAGTGTTTGGTAAATTAGCTGATAGCTGTTTGGTATAATTTCTTTTCTCAAAAAGCTAATTGAAAAAGTTGTTTGGAGTAGCTTTTTGAATTTTAACCTTTTGGAGTTGCAAAAAACTAATTAATCAAACATTTATATTGATACTTTAACTAAATCAAACCATTAATAGTGGTAAAATAAATCAAAATTAGCCTATATGTCAATTTTTTTACTAAACAGGGCCAAATTAAATAGTATGAGAGCAGTACAAGTATCTTGTACGTGGTCCTGACACTAGCCACGACAACCAATAAATCATACATACTTTGGGTGATTGAAAGCGATACGAATTATTAGTATCATACGTACCAATCCACATTTCGTCAACTTTTTGTTAATTTGGAACGTACACATTCTTGAATGCGTATCATACGTTGAAGAGTCGTGTTAAATTTCCAATAATAAGCTGCACATGTTGGAAAGCTTTTGTTTTCAAGAACATAACATGCAGTATGGTAGCTGGCTAGCTAGTTGCAAGTTAGGTTAATTGGTGTTTTGAAAACTACTCCCCATGCGAAAGTGTACAACCAATATGGCTGCTGAAGAAATATCGAGGCACCTTCCTTAGCTTAACATTATGGAATATGCCTAATATATGCATGGTGTATTGTCAATTCAAATCACAAGCTATAAGGCATGGTCGTGAAAAGTGGAGGTGATGAGAATATTATATGGCAGAATATTTGGTATGTTGTGCATGATTCTTTCTCCTCATAATTATTAAAATATATAAAAGTTGTTATTATTAATATATATATATATATATATATATATATTTAAAATGGCGACTCACTCAACTGAGCTATAATACACATAAGTCAAACTGCATTAAAAGATTGAATTTAATTAATTAATCTTACTCTATATAATAGCAAAATGTTTTTTTTGCCAATCAATTTCCCGCCTAAATGAAATTGCATCATTTTAAGGTATTAAATACAAATTAAATGAAATTGCATCATTTTAAGGTATATAATGCAGCATACTTATCTATTTTCAATACATATTAATCTACAATTAGTGTTATTTAATGATGAAGCATGTAATACATTCCAGTATTTTTAAGTTAACATTTTATTATATAAATTAATTTATTGTTTACTGAAAAAAAAATTAGAGTATCCGATTTTAAAAAATAAGATTAACCTGTTTTTTTATTCTTACAATTTTGTTGATCGACAACAATTTAATTGTTCATTCTAATATAGTTTTGAGAGGGAATTTTTTTTTTTTAAAAGAAGTTACTAAATTGAAAAATAGTTTTTTAAAATTTAAATCAGTTGCATGAACAATAATATTGGAGAGACGAATAAGTTTAAACAAATAATTACTGAACTGATATTAAGTAATTAGAAAATATGATGTATTTCTTAATTTCGTTTTAAACAATAAGTTTTACATGAAGATGATACTGTATTTATTAGTTTGTTTTAGATCTGCTCCGGTCACCCGATTTTTCAGATCGGCATTTGGGGAAGAAAGCAATTCCACAACGGTCAAAAGCTACGGTCAGATTATCTGAAAAGTTTTTTTAGCAGTGGATTACTTGGACGTGCGATGATTTAAAATCGAGAGAAAGTTCGCGTAAGTCAGTGAACATTTTAGAGAGAATGACGAACGCAACAGAGTAGACGGAAGCGCAATCGTCAAAAAAATATGGATTAGGGTTTGGTAATCAGGTTTTATAATTGGGTTAATGGGCTCGGGTATTGGGTTGAAATGCAACGTAACTAGGTTATATGGATAGATACTTAAATGTTTATTGGGCTTAGCATTGCAGATTTTATTTTTTCTTTCATGTCATGAAATATTTCATATTTAGGGTCCGTTTAGAAACCAGGAAAATGACTTTTGGAAAATGAGTCATTTTCCAGAAGTCATTTTCTTTTCCTGTGTTTGGCTTAACAATGGAAAATTATCTTTTGGTGTTTGGCTCATTTTCTGGAAATGATGTAAAATTGTATAATTAAACATTTTATATAATTAATTATTTTGTTTAAAATATATAAAATTTACAATAATATTATAAATAATAATATTTATTTTTAAAATCAAATAATATTATTTATTAAAAAAAAACAAACAAACATAATATTCATGGTTTCCGGCGGAAACCAAAATCTGGTTTCCGCCGGAAACCATGACACCGCGCAGGAAACCACATGTCTGGTTTCCGCCGGAAACCATGACATGGTTTCCGCGCAGGAAACCATGACATAGTTTCCGCGCAGGAAACCATGTCTGGTTTACGGCAGAAACCAAGATCTGGTTTCCACCGGAAACCATGACTTCCGGCAGGAAACCATCTGGTTTTCACGCCGGAAACCAAGATTTGGTTTCTGTGCAGAAACCAGATGGATTGTTTACTATTTTTTTTTAAACCTTTGGTTTCCGACGAAAACAAGATTTCTTCCGAAAACCAAAGCTTAGGAAACCAGTGCTCAGGTTTCCGGTGGAAACCTGCCGGAAACCAGTAAGCCCAAAAGTCAAAGGATGAAGAAGCCAATGAAGATGAAGAAAGTCAACTGCTCTTGAAGTGAAGAAATGAATAAGTTAACATCCGAAAAATGACTTCCCCTTTTTTAAAGAGGAAGTTGTTTTCCTTAAAAATAGGCTCATTTTCCATTGACCAGTACCTCATTTTCAGTTGACTTCAAATTTTCCTTCTTTCCAAACATTGAAAACCCGAAAAATGATTTACAGAAATCATTTTCCGGGTTTCCAAACAGACCCTTAGTTTAGATTTATATATGTTGTACGTATATAATTATTATTATTAAGCAATGTTTAAGAAAAGATTTCCATAGTTAGTTTCAATGTATGATGATGATACTGTATTTTTTATTTATATATTGTCAAGTATATGTACTATAGGCTTTAATTGCAAATCATATTAATAAATGTTTTTATATATAAGAAAATTTTTTTAATTTCATAATTTTTTATTGTATATTGTTTGATTTCCTAACTTAATTTTTTTTTTTTTTTTATAAAAATGTGTGTGTGTGTGTGTGTATATACATATATATAATTATTTTAATGTACACTTTTTAAATCTCATTTGGTATGTTATAACACAATTCTTTATAATATATGCTAACAGTATGTGATGTTCGATATAACAACCAATTTAATATTGTTAAAGAAAAATACATTTCAGAATAAGTTTTAATTTCATGATTAATATTTTATTTTATTGTTTTTAAAATATTATCAATAATAAAGTTACTTAAATTTTATGCCGTGCATCGCACGGGCCAAAAACTAGTTAGTTTAACAAATGACTTTATAAACTCTCTTAATTTTTAATACCGTACTCTCAACATTTATTTTTCAAATTGTTTTCACGTGATAGTTTGATACCCCATATACTTCTTAACTTCTAGACTCTGATTGGAGCTACCACCAATATTTATTTTATCAACAGAAATTGTTCATACAAAGATATCTATCTTTCAAGCCACAAGCAACCGTAAATGTTCGTCCCAAATGCCCTGTCTGGTCGGGGTGTGGGGGCCCTTAGAGTTGGGGTTCAGTCTTTTGGAAGAATTAAGTCGAAATAAATTTTTAAGTTTTATTTTGTTTATGGCTGCAGAAGGCAGAGTTTGAATCTTACGAAGGATAAAAAAAAAGTATGGATTTGACTTCTTGTGAGTACTAGTGTAGAATTTAATTTTATGTAAATTGTATATTTTCATGTGTGTTTAATAGTTGACGACGTAAATCACCGGTGAGCATAGGATTGACCGACTTAGTGACCTTGACACATGGCACTTGGGGGTAGCCAATTGGAGTCGGCCAAGGGTTTGAGCTTGGTCGATGGGGCCAGTTAGGTGAGAATAGTGATCTACAACACATTTTTTGTATTAAGAATATAGAATCTAGAAGCGGACTTCACTTAGAGTGCATCTTCAGATAACAACAGCAAACTTTCCCGTAAAACTTTTGGATAACCGCCGTGAACTTTCTTTTAAAACAAAAGAATGAAATCCAAAAGCATATCAAGTTTAATTTTGGAGTGACCTAACCACAGCTCTAATGCAATGCAACTCAGAAATCATCTGCCCAACAGCCCAAAAGAGATGTCATATCTCAAGACCATGTAAACATAAAAAAAACTAATGTGCCAAGCAAAATCTTGTTAAAGAAGAAATACAATATTTGCAGTGTAAAATAATGTAAAAATATATATCAAACTCTTAAGCAAACTATGAAATCTGAATCAATAAGCTTCTGATAATTAAAAGGCCCAAGATTGGAAGCTGTGTACTCAGATTTTCTACTTCATTTCAAAAAATGATCATTTTGGAACCTGCACTACAGTCTAGAAAATTCAGAATATATATTTTTTTTGTACAGCAACAGCTTAAATACATTCATATTTACAATTGCAACCAGTCACTACCCTTACATATATATGCTCCTTGTTCTTGATCAAGTGATGATACAATTAATTCTGCTAAGAGCAGTCGATGATCAGTCTATGGAACTCGATGAACCTCAGGCATCTGAAACACGCTTATCATCAACAACATCGTTGTTACTGGAAACGTTTTCATCAGTATTGGTGTTACCGCCCTGATTTTCATGGTCACCATCCTCGGACACTGAGCTAGTATCGGCTTCTTTCTCGTGACTGTCAAGTTGGACGCATTCAGCGTGCATGGCACTATTGTTGTCCGAGTCGTGGCTCCGGCTCGATGGCGTCACGTCTCCTCTCCTCACGACGTTGAACACGATGCCATTATGACTCCTTTCGGCCTGCAGAAGGTCACCTTCAGCCACAATGATGCTTGAACTATTGACGGGAATCCGGTACGTGATATCCCTTTGATCGAAATCGGTATCTGAAGCTGCTCTATCGAGCATCAACATCCTCGGGCTTTGGCAGGACGACGGGGGGTCTCGACTACTACCACCTCCCATCTGAGCATTGTTGGGGTCAATAGTTAATAACCCTCTGTTCAACTGGAAACCGGCATCCAAGTTCTGTACAAAGTCGATAAACTTATCTGCTGAGGTTGTCCTCATCAAAGGGCCCCCGGATCTCGTCCACGAGTTAAGGTCAGCACTTTCGGACTCGCTATCACTTCCCTCGTATAAATTCCGGTGGCTCCTCCAATTCCGGGTGCTGTGCGAGGTGGAAACCCCACCGCCACCGCCTTGGCGCAGCGAGGAAGCCATATCAGCAAGAAGGTCCTCCTCGATTGATCCCGTTGAGTTCTCCCGCGCAATGCAGTTCCAAGAAGGGATTCTTCGGTACCCGTTAAATCTCACCGTGGCACTGCCCAAGCCGTGGGAACAAGCTGCTGCTGCTCTATCTGCACTCCTTTTCAGTCTTCTCATGTGGTTGAGCATCGCAACACACTCGTCGAGAGCAAGCTCAATCCCACAATTCGCTTTTATGGCTGAGAACTTCTCCCATGTGCACCTCCTCCCTTGATTCGCAGCTTTTTGTAGCTCGATTGTAGTGGGATTTTGAAGTAATTTTGAATACTGTATTCAAACAAATAGAAGCAAGCAAAGACGGTGTTACGAAAGTGAAGAGAGTTTCGAATGTGCTGTCGTATACTGTCTCAAACTATCATATAGAAAAGAGAATACAAAGCCCTATAAATAGGTACTAGAAGACTATGAATAGGAAACAAGTTTTCATATGTCCTACTTACCTAAAACCCTTAACTGCCTAATATATAGAGATTATATATATCAAATATATAATCCATAAGAGACGGGAATCAAATAACAAACCTACCTGAGCTAGAGTAGCAGGCATTACAACAGTCACATCCCCCTCCCATTCTTGAGCAAAAAGCTTGGCTAATCCCCCGAGCGGGAACCCAAGTTCAAGAATCTGATGGCATCTGTGTTTCACCTCCAACTCAGCAAGCTGTGCAAGCTGGATAGCGATCGAAAAGCATTTTAAAGTGTATCGAGAACGCATAAGAAAAACAAAGATTTAAACTTTGAACAATTGCATTAAAACGGAGCGAATTGAAGAGTAGATAAAGTATATACCTTTGCAGCAAAGCTACCTCCAGCAGCTCTCACAAAATCCTTGAGTCTTAGTAAAGGTGAAATGTGTGGATTAGCCTGACTCACGATGAAATGATTTACATTGAAGAGCTCCTTTAACTGAATCATAGGTAAATCGATCTCCAAGCTACCATCCCTCCATCGACGAGCAGATGCACCGCCAGAAGTCTCATCGGGTCCCAAATGAAACGGAGGATGATAAGGAACGATGTTTCCGAATCTATCTTTTGCCATGAGTTCTTGGGCTTCGAAAAGGCCAGGAAAGGCACAGGAAGCAGTGACAGCGCTCCATATAACAACGTGAGGAGATGTCAAGTAATTCAAACATCTAGGAGGCTCGTGCTTCCTTGGGGAGCAAACCGTAATGCTTAGAATTCGACCAGTCATATCATAAGCTTCTTGGAAAGTCAAATTATTAGTGAGTTGCCGTAGCATATACTGCAGGTGTCTGATCTCATGAACAACACCAAAGGTCATCACCCTCTTAAAAACAGTAAAAATCCCACCCATTTGCTCGTAAAACGTTAACGAATGCCAGGAATCCTCAAAGAAGCTCTGGAGTTCAGGCCATGACCTAGTGGCAACAATCGAACACATGATAGACCCAACACTCGACCCAGCAATAATCCGAGGTAAAAGCCTATGTTCCACCATCGTCTTAACTAAACCAATATGAAAAGACCCGAGTGAGGCACCCCCGCTTAAAAGCAGAGCGGTTCTACCAAAGGCATGTCTTGTTTCGTGCACAAAAGCAAGCTTCTCCTCCAACAAAAGCTCCTCTGAATCCGAGTCACACACCATTCTCAACTGAGTCGAAACCTCATCAATATATTCCTGAATAAGTTTCGGGACATGAAGCCTTCCCTTATGAAGCTCCGGGTTGCACATATTACCAAGATTTCTAACGAGGTCAGCTCTCATACAAAAAATAATATCTCTAAGGGAACCCTCTTGTCGTCGGTGCCTAAGCTCTTGGAGTTTATTCCTAACAAGTTCTTCGTCATAAAGATCCGCCTCGCTCATTTTAGGGGTCTCTTTCTCCAACATCTTGGCAGCATGAGCCCACTCCTCATAGGTCAAGGCAGACCTCATCATGTTCCTCCAAAACTTCCTCCTATACGCCATCTCAGCCTTCATTTTCACATCCGTGTATCGTTTCAACAAGAAAGCCACGAGTGTCACCAACGCTAATATCCCTTGTGGATTCCGCGGATTCAGCCATGAGATCGAAGGTAACACGTAAAACGAAAGCCAATTCTTAGCCTTAGACAAGTAGTATAACAACAACTGAAATATGCGTCTCCTCAGTTGCGAAATTGACTTGCAGAACAATATTCTGAAAGCAATTGTCCTACCCACAATGGTTGAAGGTCCAATTGCCAAAAAATCTAGACTAGCCTCATTACTAATATCCATATCTTACCAAAATTAAAGAGATTAATCCTCCTCCCTATTGATCAACTCTATCTAATGATTAGATTCAGGAATATTGCTAGGGCAAGATAAAACTGGTTTTCTGTGACGATCAAATGAAGATCTATGAACAAAACTCAGGCACAATATAATGAAGAAGCTAAACTGGCAAAGCTAAATATGCTAAGAAATACTCATCAATGGCCTAACTTAAAGAAGGGATTGATTGAGGAAAGAGATTCTGACCTATGCATAGTGTAGAGATTACAGAAGCTAATAAGAACAATGGAAATTAATCTCAGACGCCGAGATCACCTTGAAGAACAACTGGATATATATATATATATATATATACATATATATGTATATATATTTTACCTGCGGATTCTGAAACTCTGCATGAATAACCCAGAAGATCAAAATTTCCAGGGAAACCAAAAACGTGGGGAATGGGGATCCAAGATTTACAAATCAAGATTAAAAATTTCTAAGATCCCTGGAACCAATGCCCCAAAGGGTATTCAAATCAACCGCCAAAATCCACAAAATCCCTCTGAAACTCGAGATCCAAGGATAAAACTACGGAGTATAAAATGGAAACAAAAAACCGTCCCCGTATAAATAACTGACATAAAAACAGAGAGGCATGGGAAACCATTGACGTATTAATGGAGCATCGAAGTTCGAAATTGGAAATTAGAGAGATTAGATACTGATATGCGTTGGCAGTTTAAAATTGACGTAACGACATGTATCTAACGTGGAAGTTTGGATATGTATGCTTTCTGGTTGCGTGAATAGTTGAATCATATGTTATTATTATTGGAAATTCTTTCCTAACAATTTTTATTTTACACAAAATACACACACCACCACACGTTCACATGAGAGTGAGATTGCATACACGTGAGAGTGAGATTGCATACATTTGATGTGTTTATGGTTTAATTGCATTTTTTTTTTTCATTCAGTAACCTAATTGTATTTTCATGTTACGTTCAGTGACCAATTTGAAACTTATCCCTTAGTAATATAGGTATACAATATTATACTCCGTATGTTGTTATTTGACTACTACTGACTCTGTTATAATGTAGTGTCTGTTTATATCAACTTTCTCAACCTATTAAAACACAAAGAATCAATACTGCCTCCACTAGAACTCGAACTCATGATTTATCATTTGTTATTTGATACTTATAAATGATATTTTGCTAAATAATGTAAAAAATTTTAAAATAAATTTTAATTCTCTTTTCTAGGTCGGCCTTTTCGGGATTTCATTCATCTAAATTCTTAAAAAAAATATTAAATTTATAGAAATGTCACATTATTTAAAGATATTTCATAAGTCCAATAATAACCATTGTAATGTGAAATGATTGTTATATACCTATGTTTATCTACACAAATATGAGACGAACTTAGATAACGTAAATATTTTAAAATAATTTTCAATTTATTTTATCACGTTTTTAGGAATCACTTTCCTCCAAAATTTTTAAATTATAAAGGTTTCAAGATAACAATATCTCCTTGGAGAATGAAATTTGATTGTGATGGTAAGATGGTTTTAGGTGTAGTTTGTTGCCGGCAAGTAACCACAAAAGAAAATATAGTGAAGGGTTGCGACTTTGACCAATCACTTCACTTAGTTCACTATCATGCATTTATGGACATGAATGGCTAAGTCTATGATGCACATAAATTTTTAAAGGTGAGTGTTTTTGAATTGCTAAAATATTTATTTTTAAGAAATTTATGAAAACTTCATAAAATATCTTAAGATGGTTTCCCTAACTTAAAAATATATTTCTTTAAAAAAAAAATTAGTAAACAAGTACTATCTCTTTATATAGTAAAAGAATTTTTATTTTATGATTATTTTTTTGTATTTGTACATTTTTCTTGCTATTTGTATCATAAAGTTCTATGTATTTTGCTTCACATTTTCGTGATATATTAATGTAAGTCGGTGATTTAAAAAGTTTATGAGTCGATATGCCAAATAAGACAATGAACAACAGTTATATCGTGGACCATAGTCCAAAAAGACCAAAACGATGTTGTTTCATCTTTCACATAAATAGTGCATTTAGTGAAGCCTTTTTTTTTCTTTTTTTTTTTTTCGCGATATCAAAAACAACATTGACAATACCGGTACATAAGCTGTTAACTTCAAGTTTATAAAGTCAATATCTTAAGTTCATAATAAAAACTTACTAATTCTCAACTAAATATATCTTAAAACTATATTATAACCATGAGTGCACTGTGGACTTTGGTTCAATACGACATCGTTTTGGTTAAGTTGGTGGGGAATTGACGCGACGGACATTGTTCCGTCTGTCCAATCCCATTACAATTTTTTGTTAACACTTGTGTTTATGTATATTATGTTAAGAGTTTATGTGTATTCTACTATAAAATTCTGTACATTATGAATTTCAATTACATACCTCAGTAGACAGAAATGATATTACTAAAACTTATGATTATGTGTATTATGTTAGGAATTTATGTGTATTCTACTATACAGTTCTCTACATTATGAATTTTAATTCCATACCATATTAAACATAAATGATGTTTCTAAAATTCGTGTTTATGTGTATTCAACTATATAATTATGTACATTATGAATTTAAATTCATACCTCACTAGACAGATATGATATTTCTTAGACTTGAATTTTTGTGTATTCAATTATACAATTCTGTACATTTTTTAATTTAAATTTTGTACCTCAGTATACAGAAATGATATTTCTTAGACTTATGATTATGTGTATTATGTTGTGAACTTAGGTGTATTCTACTATACAATTTTATACATACGAAACATGTATTTTTTTAAGAAGTTAAAGGCAAACACGGAAAACAAGATTTAAAAAAAAAAAACGTAAATGAATAAGAACAAAACGACATTATTTTAAACTAGAGAGTACAATGCATTATGCACCTGGTCCACGATATAAGTTGCCCCGATATAATATGCGGGCAATGAACCTCTCAAAAGGCCCGAGACTTTTATGGGCTTGAAGATAAATTTGGGCTAAGTTCCATCCGCTTTGAAAAGAAAAAGGCGGTGATTGCGCGTTTCAAAAAACACACGTGGGTGGTGGGCCCTGCAACAACTGGCCACCTTCCAATCAGACCGCCCGTAGGCCGTAACTTATCACTGTCGGTGGCACTGGAAAATGGCACGTTGAATTCAGTTAACCGTCAACCGCCAACCATTACCCAATTTGTTGGTATTGAATGTTCAATGTCGTGGTATTTTTCACTATTTCATCTCGAATTTAAATATGAAAATGTCTCAGGAAATAACAGTAGTTTCTACAATTATTATTATTATTATTAGTGAATTAAACAACTCATCATATATTTATTAAATGAAACTATTATTATATAATAAAAAAAAATTAATAGTTGCAGCAATACTTATTTGCTTCATAATTAAATTTTTAAACTCTAGTATTATGTGAAAATCCACGGCCACTATTTAAAAGTGTACAGTTCGTAGCTCGAAAATCATACATAAGAAGTAAATTACAATAGAAAAATCATATGCAACGAACTCAATTAAAAAAAGTATTAACAATAATTAAACTCGTAACCTTCAAATATAAAAAGTATGCTCCACCCACTGGATCACCTATATATCGGACACATTGTGACAACTTTTCCCCACACGGATGGAAGATCATGGTAAAGTAATTGGAATGGAATTTCTTATCAAATTATTAAAGGCCAAGCCACACATTGTATAAACGCGTGTACAGAATAACAGCATCTACGTATTAATGCTTCTTATCCAACATTGTTGACATTTATTCACATACATTCATTAATGAGAATTTCTTTTTAAGAAAAAATAAATAATGATTACGTGTACTTCTTCAAATAAAAAATTAGAGAAAAAGTCTTCGATTGGTAAAATAGTTAGTATATCAGTTAATTTTAACTAATTTGAACACTATTAGCTATTTGACTTGGTTAAATAATCAAAATGGGTGTTTGATTAATTAGATTTTTCTAACTTATTGCTCCAAAATGTTAAAACACAAAAAACTGGTCAAAGTAACTTCTTTATCATCTTTTTGGGAAAGCCATATTTCATGTAATCAGCTAATAATTAATTTACCAAACACTTTTCTACAATTCGCTAATACTATCAACTAGTCAAATTCAAAAAACTCATTTGTTGTGAGCGAGAGTGTATAAGTATTTAGAAATCTACAAACCAGTTGAGACACATCTCGTAATTACCTCCTCCATAAATTTTTATAATAAAATTAGTAAGCAGAAGTGATTGAAGGTGAATCTACAGTGACCCTACCATCAAACCTCACCTCTTAGTCTCTTACCATCAAACATCACCAATTTCCCCCTTTTATCTTCGTTCTTCTCTTCTAGCTTCAAGTCAACCCAATAATCTCATATCTTTTTCTCCTTTTCTTTCTCTGGCCTCTCTCCTCATTACGCGTTATTTTCTTTCCTTTTATTTACAACAAATTTTCTTTCCTTCTACAACATTTAAAATTGAATTATTTAATTTTATTTACTAACTGTTTTTTTTTTTGAAATTTTATTATTAATTATTGTTACCTTTTAATTAATTTTATAATTATAAATATAATTATAATTTATATCATTATTTTTAAAAAATTTTAAAATTGAAAAATGAATTTGGAAAAAAGAAAAATGATAATTTGGAGAAATGAAATTAAAGAGTCCAAAGTTACTAGGCCTACATTTTTTTTTTTTTAAAATAATATTACGGAGTATTTATGTTTAGAATTTCCTTTATGAATGAGATTGTCATGATCCTTAGATCCCCTTGATTGGATGCTTTAATTTCACCTATCAAACCAGAATTTTCAATTAAACAAACAAAACAATATAATAAATGTGCTTACCAAATTATGAGTCTTTACCAAAAGAGAGTCCAAGTCAGCAAAGCCAGGTCAAGACACCTATTTTGTACAAGTCAAAACTTCAGCCTCATTCATATTCACACGCCAAGATATGCCAATCATTCTAGTCCAAGAATCTAACTTTTCATAAATAACAAATTTCAAAGCAGAAAAAAAAAATCTAAAATAGGAATCAGATATTATGCAACCATAATTTACCATATGTTATATTAATTCCAAAAAGTGGAATAATTACCATCCCATATATAATCACCCCCACCCCATCACTGTAGAAAATCAAGACTTACCAAGAAAGTTAAACTACAGAGAAATTGGTTCTAATCTATTTTATTTATTGCTGTATATGGTGGGAATGGCAGTTGTTGAACCAACCTTTTCTGAGAGCTTGGCTGGCAGAAATAGAAGGGAGACAGCAGAGCCCAAGAGGAAGCCAAGATCAGTAATCAGCTTCCCCAGATTGCTTTGCTCCAGCAGATCCTTAAAGTCCAGGCCGCCCGCAAAATCCAGATTCCGGTGCCTAAGGATTGATCCATCCAGTTCTAGTGGTGGCTCGAGCCCGGAGAAATCAAGCCCTGTTCAAATGCCGGGTGCATCTCCTCATTTCATGAAGGGCACTGCCTGCTATGATGCAAAGAAGGAAAGTTTTCAGGTTTGAGCTTTTGACTCTTCTTTTTTTGTTTTTTTGGTGATAAGGTTGATGACAATGTATTGAGTCTAACCTGATTGTTTAATTCCAATATGTCATGATCAATGATAATATATATAAATGGGGAATTGAATATGTCAAGAATAAATTAATAACTGAATAACTTGTAGCAGACTCGAAAACAACATTTTACCTCTTGAGCTGTATAGCAGGATGAAGAAATCTTGTGTTGTGGCAATTTGCTTGTCGTAAAATTCTGGTTTTTATGTCGTCAGGGAGGGATTGAATGCGATGATGTGAAGTCTGTTGATTCTTCAATATCGGTGAAGCGTGACAGCAAAAGCAAGAACTTGAAAGGAGCCAGAAAGGCGATTAAAAGTTTCGGAAGCACAAGATCATTCAGGAGGGGGAGATCAAGGATCATGAAGCCAACTGCAAATCACTCACCTTGTTCAGTAGAGACATCGGAGGATTCCCCGCTTAATCAGATGAAGGCGGCGAGCTGCACTGAAAGGAGGAAGGGTCATTTCCTCCGGGCAAGTCCTCGAGGCTCTGAATCTAGTTTTGATAGCAGTGATCAGAGTTCTCAGTCAAACTTGGCTGCTTCTTCTAGTGTGAAATCTTTCCAGACTTTGATGAGGAGTTCTAGCTTGAGAACGTTGAGGGTTAGTTTCAAATCCAGGAGGCGTTCTGCGAAGTTTCTTCCCGAGGCCAAACCTGTGGATACAGCAACATGCTCTTCCACCATTAAGAACTCCAAGTTCCCTGAAAAGGTTGAGCTGCTACCTGGGCAAGCTGAATCGGAAAGAATTTCAGTGTATCGAGTTTGTTCATATCATCATTGTTCTCTTAATGGACATTCTCATGATTCACCATCAATCCCACCAAAGCGCGTCCATCCAAGAAGGAGATGGTCAACATCTGGGAAAACCACAAAACTAAGCACAAAAGAATTAATTCCTATTGATACTAGTCAGATAAGCTCTGGTGTTGATCCTTTAATGCATAAGAAAAGTAGTCCACAACCAACCGTTTCTGTCACAGAAGATAGCAGTGTGAGGGAAAACAGTGAATCTTATGCTGACCTGGTTGAAATTATCTTTGGGGAAACATCATTTCCAGAGAAGAATTACCAGGAGACTCTCAATCAAATTGGGAAAACAGCAAATTGGTGTTGTAGCTGCAATTCTTCTAAACCCAATGTAGACTCAGAGGAGTTCAGAGAGAACCAGGAAGAAATATCGGAGCCAGACAAGGGTCTAATTGTCAAGCCAACTCCAGCTGGAGAATTGGAATCCAAGAACCTTCCACAAGTTGTAGATTCTGAAGCCAAATCCTCTTCTTTGAAGACACCCACACCCCAGGATAGCAAAGAGAAGCAATTGAGCATGTGGAACCTTATACATCATCATATGGTGTCAGGTCTTGCTGCAGGATCCAACAACAAACCATTGAACGGATCCGATGAAGCAAACCATGCTGATGATTCAAACAAATTACCTGCGGCACCAGAAAGTTCCAGGGTGTATGCAGATGTGGCTGCTGCTGCTGCAGATCAGGATGGCGAGAATCAGGAGATTGAAGTCCGGAAGCTTTTAGCGATTAAGCTAGTACGAGAAGCAATAGAGAAGGTTCTCCTTCCAGAAGTTCCAGACCAGTCATCTGACGATCAATCAATAACAAGTGAAACCACTTCAGAACAAGAAATATTGGAAATCAATAAAGAAAATGGTATGTTTACCCTCCTTTTCTCCCATTTCTTCTGTTATTTCATTGGGATAAATGATGAACTAGTTTTTCCCCATCCTGCAGCCTCTGTCCAAGAAAACTACATGGATGCTGACAGGAATCAAGATTTAGCCACTGCACTACCTGGTTCAAAAGAGTCAGAGTCAAGTGTCATCACCGATAGTAATGGTAGCCAAGGGGAAGTGAAAACAAGAAGAGAGGTTGCAATGAAATCAGAGAGGAAAGCACCAAAACACTGGAGCAATCTCAAGAAATGGATTCTTCTCCAACGGTTCATCAAGGAATTGGAAAAAGTGAAAAGGATCAGCCCAATGAAGCCAAGGCAACTCCAGCTAGAGCACGATCCAGAAGCAGAAAAGGTTCGTCTGAGACCGCAAGTAGTGGACGAAAAGAGAAGAACTGAAGAATGGATGCTAGATTATGCACTACAGCAAGCAGTCAGCCAACTTGCTCCAACTCAGAGAAGGAAAGTGGAACTGCTTGTAAGAGCTTTTGAAACAGTGGTTCCACCTCAAGGAGGTAATAACACTGAAGTCACACTTTCTAAGTTCAAATCCAATAGTGAAGAACACTTGCAAATGACAATCAAGGAGAACAAGTTTTCCTCAGAAGTAAATGAAACAATTCATCCTGTTAGTGGTGGGTCTGATGAAAGATGCAAAACAGAGGAACTTGACGCTTCAAGTGGTATAATCCCAAGCTTAGCCCATCAGTTTGATGGAGAAAGCCCAACTGTACCTGGCAAGCAGAACAAGAAGGCAGCTGATGCAAAGAGTGTTGCTCTCCAAGGCTCACATGAAGGTGCAGATTTAAATTCAAATTCTGAATCTCCCACTCGTGCTTCAATAAAGAGTACCAAGAGCACAGAGCTTGATGCTCAAGATGGCAATTCTTTCACAAATCCAAGCATACTAGGAGATGGTAGTGAAAGACTCCAATCAACGAAGAATATCCTTGAGGAGACAGAAAGAAAACCAGAGCACCAACCTGAAGTTTGTGGTGGAAATTCTCTGATAGAATCAATGTCTGGATGCAAAGGAAACAACAATGGGGGAGACACGAAGCATCTAGAAAAGCGGAAGTACATCAGCATGTGGCATATGATATCTCAGCATGTACTCACAGGTGTTGTATCAAAAGCCGGGACAGAGTTGCTTAATGGAGCAGATGATGAGGTAGAAGATGCAATTACTGTGGAAGAAACCAAAACTCACCGTTCTTGCCAGGATTTATCGGAACCACATGATCACACAGATGCAATTTGTGAAAATGTTGATTCAGGCCATCAGAGGAGAAATTTCAGCAGAGATGATGCCATCAAACTTGTAAGAGAGGTAGTTAATGAGATCCTTGTAACACAGGTTCAAGATGATTCCTCCGACACACAATCAGTCACTAGCGACACACTTCCAGAGCAGGAACTCCCAGTCACAAGCCAGATTGGAGATGGAGAACACAATGGATCAGCTTTGAGTGAGGAGAACTTGAAAGAATGTAACAAAAGTGAGGGTACAGTTACAATGGAGAAAGAAGGAAACACGAGTATAGATGATAGTATCATCAAGGAACATGAAAAGAGAGAAGTTACTCTTGCTAAAGCCAAACCTGGGCTGTCAAAGTCCAAGAATTGGAGCAAGCTGAAGAAACTCCTCCTCCTTAAGAGATCAATCATGGCTCTGGAAAGTGCACGGAAACTCAAATTTCCACCACAAATAGACCTGCCACAAACACCTAATCCAGAACCAGAGAAAGTGGATCTAAGGCATCAAATGACGGATGAAAGGAAGAAGGCAGAACAATGGATGCTTGATTATGCAGTCCAAAATATTGTCACTAAACTAACTCCGGCTCGTAAAAGAAGGGTGGCAATGCTCGTGGAAGCTTTCGAAGCAGTTGTTCCACTCCCTGAAGTGTAAACTCAGTAGATGTGCATATTTGTCAAATCAACACACATTCTATTGAGACTGGCATATACAAGCTAGTAAGGTATGTACTCAAAAGAAGATCCTGATTGTCAATTCTCTAGTGTAACAAATGAAGTAAAGACTAGCAAAACTAATTGCATTAGAAATAAGTAAACCTTACTCTATTGTTGTTGTTGTTGTTATCAATGCATGATTAACAATATCTTATTAACATTTTGCAGGTGGGATAGCAAGATCAAGCAGCAGTCAATCATTTGATTTCGATGGTGTCAAATTCTTCTACATTCTTTGATATATTTCCAGCAAATAGTGGTAATGGTTTTGCTCGTCATGGCTGCTTTAATCCTGTTTCTCTAAGGTTGGAAGAAAGAACATTGTCAAAAATATACAGGCGTATGTCTCTTGTTCTTATACTGAGCGTATTTACAGGTTCTTCAATGCAATTATAGTGAAAGTTGTCAGTACATCTGTAAGGTTGAATTCATTATTTATTTGTATACACTTCTTTCTTGAACTAGAAGAAAATGATGAAATGGTATTCATATCATCTAGGCAGTTCTAAGTAGGGCAAGAGTTGCCAGTTTTTAATATATTTGTAATATATGTCTGTACAGAAATTTGAAACCTATGGCAAAGAAACCACAATTATGAATCTATTCTATACCTGAATTAAGAAAGACATGAGACCATACGCAACAAAATTCTTTCCTCCCAAAACTGGCTTGTCGAATTCATTCTAGAAATGATCAAACCTTAAAGCCCTATACAAAGCACATCACAAAGTATATCAAATTTATTAAGTAGAGTACTTTCCACAAACATCATATCAGCATCAATTGCAGGAGTATATCACTGCTAAATTCACCAGAAAAAGCCCTAACCAACAATTGCATTAGTATAAGACGTGAAATCATTTCGGAAACAGCATACCAGGACGCATTAGACGTTGTCAAGAGCGGTGTTCCTTTGATCGGTAACCGTTGTTTAGTACGGAATAAGTGAATTGACTCGGCGGGAACTCGTAGATGGGACAACGACTGTCGTCCGCGTTGAATTACTTGCAGTCCACCCAAAGGAAGTGATTTGATATTTTGATTATTTTAATTTGAGTCGGTGTATTTTATTTTTTAACAGAATTTGAGTCGATTAGGTATAAGTAATTTAAATTGTTTTATGTTTTTGTAATATGATATAATTCAAATTATATTTTTAATTGGTTATTTGATTAGATATAGTTGCAATTCAATTACATCACAATTCTTTAGTCATTCGCATTATAGTGTTTGGTTGAAAAGAATTACAATTCTACCGAATTGTAATTTTCTCATTTTGTTGAATTGCAATTCATACACTCTTCTATATGAATTGCAATTCAATTGGGAATGAAAAATGAAAAAAAGAAATTTTTTTTTTTACCATTAATTATTATTAACATTATTATTACACAAAAATATTTTAGTATTTATAATTCTATCTGTCTCTATCAAGACTCGATCTCATGATCACTCGTATGAGAGAATCACTACATGTTATCTTAGCAAAAGATTCTTTTATAATTACACATTACAGTCACATGTTCATCGATGATTGTATTTAATTTGTGTTTAGTTTATTATAAATTAATCAATAAATTAAAGCGGCGCCTAGAAGAGGATACTGTTCCAAGTTCCAACTCTGTGTGCTTCTTCTGTTTATTATTGTTTATTAGAAGTCCGTCAACTAAGGATGCCCATTCCGTCGTACGTTGTCCACCTTAATTAATCTTCTAGAATCGTAGAACCTTCTATACCCAAGTGAATTAGGACTAAAACGTTACCGTAAAGCCCAAGTCAAATAGGATTAAGAATCCCCTATAATCCCTCCTATAAATACATTCGTTTCTCTCATTCCTTTCCAAAAATCATCAAAGCATCCAATCACGCAGAGTCATATAATATAGTTCTTGATTGATTTCTTCAATGGCAGGTCTTCAGTACTACTTCTTCCCCACAGATTTCTACTACCCGAAGCCACCAAAGCCGGCCGCCACCAACCTTCCGCCGCCGCCGCAGCAGGTTACTCCGCCAGTAGCCGCCGAACCAGTGAAGCCGGCGGCAGAGGGCCCTGTCGTCATGGCTAAGTCCGCCGCCTTGGTCCGACGTAACTGGGGCGGGAACAAGATTCTCAGAGCTTCAGCTCCGGCGGTGACATACTACCCAGTTGAACGGAAGAATAATCCGAGGCGATTGATTGACGAGGATTATTGAGTCTGATAGAATATTTCTGCTGTTTTTCGGAGTTTTTTAGGAGTTGTGTATCTTAAACAACGGAGCAGCCTTTTTGTTTTACACGGCTCGTGTAATTTTCGCAATTTTTTTTCCTAATGTTAATTTGTTGACATATGCATTGTAAAAAACAAATTTATTAAACGTATATGACTATTATTTGTTATTAATTAATGTCTCATAGTTTTATGGGGTTTGTATTTAACATATACATCGATGTCAAAGTACGTAGTTTATTGAAAATCATTGATTTTTTTTATTTATATCATAAACAAATTATATTGTGCATGCTTAAAATAATTATGTTGATTACAACATAATTAACTTTCAACCAATTAAACTTTGAAAATGAAAATATTTTACTTACTATACAAATCATTTTTTTTTTTTATAAATCATTGTTTAAAAAGTAATTTTTTGATTTTTCAAATGATGGGAACTATATTTATATATGAAATCCGGATAGAGCTATCCTGCAGTACTGATAAAGCCGCCATGGAAACATGAAGCAACTGATACCAGATAAGAACTAAGTTTCTGAAATACTATTCAAATTTTAAAATAGGAGATCGAATACAGAATAAACACATAGGTAGATAAATCCTATTACAAGTAAACTATAGCTATGTTAGTAACGTAGAGTCCTAATATAAATAAACCATAACCTAAGAGCTAGCTTATATCGGTCACCAAAACAAAATTTTAATTCCTCTCATACAAATTGTACATTTATGAACCAAATTAATATATTATGTAAATCAATTGAATATAAGATAATTATTCATCGACCAAATCAATATACTCAATCATACAAATGTAACTATGTGCCGTGTGTACCTAAAAAAAAAAAAAAACACACACACACAAAACAAAACAGAAAAACTGTGTAGAAGTTTAGCGTAACTGGCAAGTCAATTAGGACAGCCCAAGATTCCTTCTACACATACTGTCAAATGTTCAGCGATGAAATAATTCTGATTATTCTTAAATGGCAGGCGTTAAATACAACTCCGTACTAAAATCAAAAATCATTCTCGTGAAGTATATATATCATTCTTATCAAATACGGAGTATCAAGTATCTTAATTTTATTATAGAAAATAATAAAATTATAAATAATTCCTCTATTTTTTAATATCAATTATTTAAATTAATAAAAAAAATACTACTACCACCACCACCTTAACATAATGTTCTGGGATTGGAATTTTGAGGATATAAAAATTCGTCTAGTATAAGTTGGAAACTAGTTGTTATACAATGGACGGATGATGGACCATGGTCCAACTTTGTGTGTTTTTAGTATTGAAATTGTGAGCATTTAGAATATAAATTGTGTTTTTAAGTTTGAGAATTTGTGAATACAATACAGTATCATCACACATTGTAAATTTTGAAAATATAAATTGTGAACATTTAGTATATAATGTAAATTGTGAACATTTAATAGGTAAATGTGTATCTTTGGACTTGGGTTCAAGGTGAATCTGGATTCACAAAATAATTTGTGGTTAGAAACCTAATGTACTAAAAAAAAAAAAAAAAAAAACCCTTAACCTTCTATAAGTGGGGAAAACATGCATGCATCCATCCCCTTAGACCTAAGTGAATTGGGAATTGGGAATTGGGAGTATCGTAAACGTCGCAAAGCCCAAGTGAATTTCGAATTCCTCATAATCCCAAGAGTCACATCTATAAATGCACCTTTATCTCTTTCAACCTTTTCTAAACATCATCAAATCGAATTACGCAGATCGATCGACACAGATAATATATACTCCTCTTCTCCCAACAGATAATATACTCTTGATTTCTTGAATGGCAGGTCTTCAGTACTACTTCTTCCCCACCGACTTCTTCTACCCGAAGCCATCAAAACCGGCCGCCAACACCCTTCCGCCGCCGCAGATTACTCTGCCAGTAACCGCCGAAGCAGCGAAGCCCGATAGTTCCGTGGCAGCGGCAGAGGGTCCTGACATGCCCAAGTCTCGACGTTTTTGGAGCGGAAACAAGATCTTCACAGCTTCAGCTCCGCGGCTACCCAGGCTAATTGAGAGGAACAATAATCCAAGGCAATTCATCAAAGATTGAATCGGATGAACATCTCATCTGTTCTTTTTTTCAGGAGTTCGTTGTTTCGTAAACTATGGACTACTTTTCTGTTTAAACATTTTCTCTATTGTTTTCCAAATTATTTGTTTTTTAATGTGTGCATGGTAAAAAAAATTATAAATTTCCATTATAAAAAAATTATTAAATATACACCTAACTCACTATTATTATTTCTTGTTACTTTGAAGGTTGCTTGATACTTTTCTATCAATTAAAACTTTAGAAAAATGTTTATCTAGAAAAATTTATTTGATTGCTTGAATAACTTTATAGGAAAAATTAATGAACATATATGTTCAGTTAAACTTTCATAGAAAAATTTTAAAATTTCTAATATATCATTATTATATACAAATATTAAAATATATATATATATATATATATATATATATATATATATATATATATATATATCCTTTATATAATAAAGCTATATGGTTTGGGAAATAATTAATGTTACAATTAATGCCACAACATCCTTTATTATAAAAAAAAAACAACATTTAAAAAATAAAATAGTTATATATTATATAATCATATAAAAAATATACTTTTGAAAAATAAAATAACTATATATTATATAATCATATAAAAAATGTGTTCAATTAGAGTTTAAATTTACACATACAAAATTTGAAATTTGCTTTCCAAATGTAATTATCTTAGTTATTATTTGTATTGTGAAAATTATAATATAGATGAAATATAATTAAGAATAAATCAATGTAATTATGTAAATTATTTTTATAAGTTTATTTGAATATGCACATAATTAGAGATTATATTAATCATACAAAATTATAATTTTAATTTTAATTTTAATTTTGTATTCTATAAAAATAATAAATACTTGACCAATGGAAGCTCAAAAATATTATTATATTAAATAATTTATAATATTTTAGTTTTTTTATTTTTTATTTATATTTATAATAACATAATTTTTTTCCGTGCATCGCGCGAGTGAATTACTAGTGTATATATATATATATATATATATATATATATATATATATAACAAATAATTTAGAGTAATAAATTACTTTAAATTGGTCTATATAACAAATAATTTTGAGTTTAATGAATCATTTGTAAATTAATTAATAAATCATATACCAAAAAATTACAATATCTATGTAAAAAACAAAAAACACCAAGTCATCAAAAT